TTTAAAAACAAAGATGGCAGTACTTTGAGCTTGTCTGACAATTTTACAGAATTTTCTTTTTTTTTAAGAAAAGGTGCTACTACAGCATACCACCACAAAAGAGCAATGATCCAATGCATTTCCTATTCAGAACAATCTAAAACAAGATGCTTTATTGCCACTGCTTTTGAAATTTGCCCTTACATGGTCCAACAAAACCAGGATGGACTGGAACTGAATTTAACATGGCAGCTTCATGGTACATTCCACAGATCCTTCATACAAAAGCCAAGGATGCAAAACATGTCACAATATTAATATGAACACTCGGTACAATATAATAAAAGAATTATAACTGCATACTTATTACAGATACTTACATAAATATTTACAGTATTTGTTTTCAACTGAAGTAAATTCTTCTATAAAGTAGAAGAGAAGATGACCAGAAATATGATGCATGATATAATGTGCATTAAACCTATGCAAATACAGCAAACAGGAAAATCCATATGACATCAATAACCACATTTAAAAGTCTTTATCTTCAAAGTAATGAACTCTTTCATAATCTTATAATAATCCCATAATTAGTATCTATTTATATTAGTAATTCAAGTGCATGAAAGTATACATTCATTCCTGACACCACTGGTTGTATGCCTGACAAATATTACTAGATGATTATAATACGATAGGTTAGGTTGAGTCACTTTAGTTAAAATTAGCATTTATAATCACTCAGTACTACCTGCAGACTAATGTGTGATGAGCTGGGTAATTAAAGACCTACACTTTTACCTGAATTTCAAGTTCTCCTCTCAGTACCATGCTAAATCCAACATTTCATAACAAACCACGATACGAACACACATCGAACATCCAGATATAACTGTACACACCATCATGATCCTCTAAAAGTCTCAGAATAAAAAAGATTTTATTCGCATTCCACAAATCCTTTACAGGCCCAAACCAGGGACGTAGAACATATCATAGAACAAATACTTGTTTCAATCTACCTTTGCATATTGCCCTGAGAACCTATGACAATGAGCTCATGTTTCATTGATATAGGTTATTATTCCAAATACACGCTCCGAAAAGAATACAGAATTTTGTTACAATAATAACTAAATTATGCAATGTCATTAACGATTTAATAATAAGCCTTACCAAAAAGCAATTGAAATGTCAAAAGAACGGAGTACCTACCGCCATACTCGGATTTGATTTTGTTATATACACTACTGTTGGATAGAACTGCTTTTTTTGATAGTATGCATTTCCAATAACCGCAGTTGTTAATGCTAAACCTATAATGTAATTCCTGCCGCGCGCATATCGAAATTTCGTCTACTCTCGAAGCAAATCTATCCCTCATCGACACCACCATAAATTTCACTAGTGCTGCTCTCCGTAGGAAAATATTGTACTAAAGGATTACGTGTCTGTCGAATAAGTCGCAGGATTGCGCGCCAAGAATTTTTTAAACTTCGTAAGTAGTTAATTAGTATATTGATTAATATATGCTGAAATATGACAATTTTATGTCAATGAACAGGGCGTATCGTTCTTAATACCATTTAGAGCTTAAATTACCTCCCTGTACATTATTTTGACACCAATATTAAAATCATTCTTCCATGCTTATTGTTCATATTTTTATTTAGTTTGTGATATGGCTATTAAAAATTTATGTTGTTTTTAAGATACAATGCTACAGTACTTAAGTTAGCAGTAACCTTTACCTCCTTTTTCACAGGTACAAACAGTACTGCCAGTACCAGGAAATGCCTCAAAACAACAATAAAATATGCATGTCTCCAAAGGATATCACAAAAGATGTTTACATTGACAAGCCTGATAGTGGATGCAATTGCTGGGTTTCACAAGGAATACGAAATTATCCAACAAGAAAACTCACCACTGCAATGATAGTCGATGAAAGAGAAATAGATATGTTTTTACAGTTTTTAGGTACCTTGTATATGCAATGTAAAATATGGTTGTTTTCCAAAACTGTATTTGTACATATTTACTAATTACTAAATAAGTATACATATTCTATAAAGACACATAAAACTCATAGAGAATAGCATTAATTCTCTTAGAATAAACACTCTAATGTTTTCAAAATACTAAAGGATGAACGTGTGTAACATATGTTACAATAAGTATCTTGCTACACACCTGATTATAATATTCTAATATTTTATTAAATAATAATAGATTTGAATGAGATGAACAAATTAAATCAAACTATGATACTGATAGCAGTAATAGATAATGAATTTCTGTTTAGTGATTCACCTCGATACTGAAAGATTAAATTAACTTTTACATACAGCTTTTCATCAGCCACTGTGGCCAATATAGAAATTAAATTTAAGTTCAGAGCTGTAAGCTAAATGGGATTTATATTCAGCTGGCTGGCAAGCAGCTACATGTTGAAGGGACTGTATTATTAACAAAAAATTAATTTTGCACATGCATCTCTCTTAATGTGTCTCAAGATGAAGATCCGGTAATCCAGGAATTTCTCAAGAATGATACTTGTTCAAAACTTGCTGATAAATACCTCCTGGCCATGGTTTTCACTTACTTCAAACGAGCCCAGTATGCTCCACAGGAATTCACACGCTATAATTTCTTTGTTGCATTGTAAGTGATACAAATTATGTAAGTACTGAATTGAATGTATGTACATAACAGAACCTGACAAAATTAATAGAAATGTAATATTTTGAATGATTTTTAATGCTACACAAATTTAATAGCATGAAGGAAAACTACTTTCACCATTGATGGTAATTGGATTCTATGCAGAATAAGTTTGATACAGTTCATAGCTTCACAATGAATTTCCCTAAAACCGATTTCAATATTATTCTTCAATATTTAACTTGGTCACCCTAACAATTGAAGTCAAAAAATAAAGATTATGAAAATCAATATGTTTTTTCTCCAATCCTTGAGCAGACCGTTTTAAAATAACCCAAGCCTCTGTTGCCATTACCAATTGCAAACAAATAAAAAATTAAAACAGTTTAAGAAACTATTCCCTTTTCCACTTTATGGCTACCAATATGAAATGTAACTTTTTTTTATGGAAATGCCAGATTCCTGGCCCATGACATACTTTATGGCTACCAATATGAAATGTAATTTTTTTATGAAAATGCCAGATTCCTGGCCCATGACACAGAAGAAGATGATGAAGATATAAAGTGTGAGCTGTACGTGTGGACCTTCGGATTTCACTGGCAGTGGCAGTATCAAGAGTTGCTTACAAGCAGAGAAACTCTCTGGAAGGTTATTGGCCATCGTGGTATTGTCAGCAGAGCATGCTGTGAAAAGGTATGCCCAATGAAGCTTACTTATGCACTGCCAGCTTCTCCACCAGCCAAAAACTTCTGCGCTGACTATAACGATTCATACGCCAATGGGTAGATATCAACGTTTTGGAGAAACACGTAACCTCAAACTTCAGGGCCAAAGTTAGCCACATGAGTCCACACAGAATTACAAAAAAGAAGACCATCACCAAAGTTAGCCACATGAGTCCACACAGCATTACAAAAAAGAAGACCATCGACATGACAGAATTTCAAAAATGGCTTTCGGTAGCTTTTAAGTTTCCGAGACAGCATATATAAGCGCGTGTAGTGTGAGGTATTTAACACTGATGCAATATGTGGGAGCAAATGTTATTTTGACATACTGACAACCACTTCACTTCTTTGGGTACAGGGACCATTAACAAACACACACTGATACATTCTAAAAGGTATAAAATATAAATTATATAAAAGTACTGCAAAGGGATCTGATGCCCTCCATTGACAAAAGCGCAATGAATCGATGTTGTCACAAATCCTTAAAGAAACATCAGCTTGTTAAAGGTTACACGATTCCTATGACAGGTAATGTCGCTCCAGCCAAACCATCCTATATGGCAGAGGAACAGAGCTGAAATTCATGCTGGGGCTAACCGACCATATGATGAAACAAGTGAATCTGCTTGCTCCAGCTGTTGTAAACTGAAATCCGTCATTAAGACCACTGATTCTGACGTCTTTGAAAGTAGCGATGATACAGACAGCATTAGCAGTGACAATCTCAGAGGTAAGAACAGAAATAATTTGGATTTTCAAATACAAACATTACCTCAATATTCATTATTTTTACTTGACTTCTTAATTTGTTGCAGAGATTTCTCAGTCACCAGTCAACATCTGTGAAGTGTTCATGAATGAATAGATGATAAGAATGGAACCAGTTATGAAAATTCAGTTACATCAAAAATCCATGACCACCTCCATGCTTCTGAAAAGAAGTCAACTGAACAAATATTACAGTTAATGAACCCAGATTTTAATTACAACCTGTTGTTTAATAATTTTTTTCAATGTCAATTAAAGTAATGTTTTCATATTGTATAGAATATGATGAATTTGAATTCGTGCAAATTGTCACAAAACGTCCTTTAAAGAGACCAATTACACCAACAGGCAGTTTCAGACATTTGATATGAATAAATGCTCTAGACACAGTTTTAATATTCCAAATTCACAGCACTGATAAATATGAATGAAGTTTCTTTTTAATTATAAACCAATAATATGTTCACATTACTTTATTATATAATATTTTATAAATGTGAAATTCTACGAACTCATCAGACTTTAACAATTTGCCCAAAATCAACAAACATTAATAAAAGTGTCTATACGACAGGGTCTGAATGACCATGTTCGCAAAATATTAATTAAAAAATACTTTAGTATGCAACACCTAAAGTTAACAGCTAAGCTGATTTTAATTTTTAAAAATCTGAAGCACCCAGGTTTTAAATGTAAATATGCAATCTTGCAACAGAGTACAATAGAATGTCATTTATCTGAATTAATTAAATGTGGATGTTATGGGATTTACTGAATAACCAGACAACAGTTGTACCAAATAAATGAACTAAAGTTTTCTGTACAATTTGAGATAGATTTAGTTCATAATGTGTAGATAATAAGAAAATAATTAATGAACTGGATGTACAAAGATGCAAAAATTTGCATTTTATATTTAACCCAAGAATGAAAATGTTTTGTTTAAATTAATTTTGATTCTTAAATGATCGTTTTTCACCCATCGCTTTACTGTATCTAGACGTCGGAGTATGTACTATGTTCACTTTTAAAATCTTGCCTAAATTTACTCTAGATCAGGCACCTCATATGGAAATACTTTGATAGCGTTGAATAAAGGTTTATAAGCTGTCATTAAACTTGTGCATATTTTCCTACATCTGATAATTTATAATATTTAAAAACACACATTTCATAAGCTGGTTCTGCTTCCATAATCATGTGAAACCATACAACATAATCACTTGGGGCCACTGAAAAGAGCTAGTATCAAACAATGTGTTTTAAACACGTTCTGCGTTGCTTTAATTAATAGACAAAGAACAATGTCCAAGAATATTCATAATTTTAATCTTTATATCCTGTTACCATTGTCATCATTTATATAATATGAATGCATACCTGAATTTTAAATCAGTATTTTTTTAAGTGTCATATGTTCATTGTTATTGTGTTAGTCTGTTCATGTTTTCAATTTATGAGTGTAAGAAAAATAGTAATTTAAATGTATAGTTTATAAAGACTGAATTTAAAATGTTACTGTTTTAAACTAGTAATAAATAGTTACCCATGTATACATACAGTATTACTGTTGGTTTAAAATTTGTGGGAAAACAAATATAATTTTGCCAATTTCACTTTCCTGGTACCTGCATCTTGTCGTGGTCGTGGGGCTTGAGTACCTCAGTGACCCCAAGAGCTATGCTGGCGGTAGCATAGCTACTGGTAGGGCCTCCCTAGCCAGATTGGTCGAGGGGGAGAGGTCAGGTGCCCTAGTCCTCCAGGTTGGGGGTTGGTTGCAAGGCTAACAACCTTGCACCATAAAAAGGAAAATGTTTCAAAACCTCGATCAAAGCCTCGTACAGACAGACCTAACAGAGGACCGAATGGAAGAGGAGAATTGGGGAGGATATGGACCGAATATGGACCGGAGAGCCATAGGAGAATTTCTCTTTCCATGTAAAGTAAACCATACCAAGTACAAACTTAAAAGTTGTGTGCACATAATGAAAATTGTCCCTCCTTTCTTACCTTCATTCCCTATGGCTCACCGTTGCATCCATAACCCAAGACCCTCAGTGCCTGAATGACAACTGGCTGCCTTGTGCTGCCATCTGTGACCAAACCATTACTGTCAGATATGTAAGCTACGCACATGTGCTTACATGCATCTTTACATATCTTCAAAATGTGACTTAAAAATGTTCAATGTAAAATAAATTTACAATGACAATGATATAAACATTGTTTTATTGAATACAGAGTCATAAAATAGTGTCATACAAACAAACTTTTTTTTTACATGAATCCACTTTGTTACAGTCTCTAGAACAGTTTAATTCAAAATTGCACAAAATATAACTTGACCAATAAGTACAAATAATGCAGAATTAGGCCAGGATTTTATCACATTTCATGTTGAGATCCCGAACGATACAGTCAAGAGATGGAAAAATATATATGTACTAGCAGTTAGCATACAAAGATATCAAAGTACATTATTTTTAAGACAGTTTACCTCATGAGATTTTTAATTTCTTCAGGATCAAATTATAATTATTACTAAAAAGATTAATGCCATCCATATTAAAAGCAGAGATGGGATATACCCATGCATATACATTGTACCACACAGAGAACAAAATATTTACTCTTCATAACGCAGTAAGTTGTACGCATCAAGATACAATAAACTGCTAAGTAAGAAATCTGTCAACTAGTTTTGTACAAAAATGCAAACCAATTACTTCATTACATTAACATAGTACTACCGGTTACGTCATTTGTAGAAATCAAATTCATGTGGACACATTTTAGAAGAAATAAGACACATCAAAAAGTACTCTTTTTATTTAATGTGACCTGAACATTTGCTTGTAAAGATAAAAGACACTAAGAAACCCATCCATTTGCTGAAGAAACCAAAATAGAAAATTTCTTAAATTTGTTTCTGCTTGTGTACAATATTTCTTTACAAAAACATGCACATGACAATTCCCATCCCAACTCACAAGATAAACCCCTGTCCTGATTTAAAAAATTCCTATTAAAAATTAGGCCTCAATAATTAAAAATAATTTTTTCAATAACACAAAACTAGCAAACTACCCTGTGTTATGATCAAAGATGAAACTCTTGCTAACTGCATACAGACTATAAGACATCAAATAGTTTCCGTATATAAATTACATTCCACTGAATTATACTAGTCATAATGATAGAAAGTTCTATAAATTGACACTTGATATAAAGAAATCGTAGCATTATTTGGCACATGAAGAAATTTACTTTTCACTGCTTACGTTAGATCTATGAGAGATTTCGTGATTTGATACCCAAGAGTCTGGGACTGTGTCTTCTGGGAGATGCAACAGTAGTTCCACAGCCAAAATCGGCCACAGCTTTCATTGGGGTTTGGTGATGACAACCACTTCTGTCAGTGGAAAGGAGACTGCCCTTTGGTGTCCTGCAGAACTGACTTGGGGACTTGGTGAGTAAAGCTTTCTTAATATATGGCGTCTCCCTCGGGGTTCTACACCCTGAGCAAGTCACCACAGATGGATCTTTAATGGTGCAATGTGGAATTTGACTATTAACTTCAATCCTGTTGCAGTCTTTCAGAGGAGAGAAGGATGTCTTACACACTGCAGGAGAACACACTTCTTTCAATGTATTAGGCATATTGGCTTGAGCGAATGTAAGTTGAGAGTCTTCCTTTACATCCTTGCCACTCTGAGATCCCATATTTGGCTGTATGTATGTATTATCACAAGGGAACAGAACATTCTCCTTCTCTGTACTTAACCACTTAATCGGAACGGTAAGATTTGCTTTAACATTTGTACAAACTCTGTCACGTGTCAGCTTCATGCTGTTATGCTTTCTACGAATTGTTGCGGCTGGACTTCCTATGGATATTGGATCTGCCTTGGATGGTGACTTCCTTACTTTCAACTTTTGTTTTTGGTGAGAACCATTTGGACTTTTCATTCCATGCCTCCGTCTAGGTGTGCCCATCTTCTTCGGGCTATCTTTAAAAGAATCTTCCAAATCACTTACGCCAGACTTTGCTACTAATGAGGAATGAATCCTTTGAACTGACTTGCTATGACTTGATCTAGAGACGCTATGTTTCTTGGTAGGAATATTTCCGGAATATTGGATTCCTACAGATCGAGTAGCATTTGCATTACATCCAAACACACTCGGAATATTTACAAGTCGTTTTGTTTTAGAATCAGTCATAGATTTCTCTTTCTCATGATATCCTAAACTGCAATTTGCTTTTGCATCAAATAACTTCATTCTTTCCAAAACCATTCCTGCATTCTCGATCCTTAATTTTGCTACAGAAGCTCTGCCTGTAACAGGCACTTCTTCCTTGATGTTTTGGTCACCACTGAAGAAGACGTCTGCTGTTTTCCATTCACCATCTTCCTGTTGTTTTCTTCTATCAACAATATCAGCATTTACTTTTGGGCCGAGTGAGCTGTGAATTGTGGTTTGAGCAATGTTACCATCACTGTTGGATTTCATAACATCTGTAAAATGTTCACTTCTAAAGCTCTGATTTCTGAACGCCCATTCAGAACCATGGAAGGAGGAAGCCCTCCGAGCTTTACTTCTTGTCATGGGACCAACTACTTTTCTACACACATCAAGATACTGAGTCAAATCCATCATATTCATCATCTCATCATCCAATAGACAGGACTGGTACTTTTGCAATATCTCTTCAATTCCACCCTCAGAAGGTTGGTCATGCTGAGATTTGCAAGCTATTCTTTTGTGCTCAGTGCTGACAGCATTTCTTGGACTTGGTTGGGGCAAGCCTGTGAATACTGTATTGGGCCTGCCCCTCTTTAAATTAGTGCGTGGGCACAACTGGTTGATCTCAGTACAGCTGGGTATTACAGCTAAGTGCCATGACATGTTTCTTCCTAACCCATTATTTTCTGATGATTTTCTGAAGACAGGTTTTGCATTTTTTTTTGACCTACGCCTGATGGTGCCAATTTTTCGTGCACTCGGTGATCTTATAACTTTATTCTCTAGGCTCCGATGAATCCTTAGTTCCCTGCTCAGTCGCCTGGCAAGGTGATCTGCTGAAGCGTCGCCTAATTTCTCAGATTCAACTAAAGTTCTTTCATATGCAGTCTGAACCAATTCTGTGTTATTACTGGCTTCAGTGCTAGATGGTACATTTAGAGGGCATGCACTTGAGTCAGTGTCACTGGCAGAGCTCATGTTTCCAAACTCTTGTAATATTCTGTTCTCAATAACAGATACTATGTTCTTAATCGCTTCATATTCACTCTTTGGAATACGAACAAATTCTGTCTCATGACGATCTGGTTGTAATACATGAATAGGATTATCGCACAGATTGACTTGTGCGTCCTGAATGACTGGAACACATCGGTTTTCTACTTGGGCCAGTTCCCCATCACTAGTGATGTCAACACCAGACCCAATTGAGGGTGAAAACATTGGTATATCTGATAGATTTAAAAGTTTCTTTCTGGCCCAGGGGCCTGCAGTCCAGCTTCGCTCCAGAGAACTTCCTCGACTTGCATGATCCGAATGGCAGGTTATGTCTGAACCAAATGGATTACACACAACAGCCAATTCCTCAGGTTTCTGAAACATGAGTTAAGGCTGTCAATGTGATATTTGTGAGAGAATTCCAGAGCATTTAGAAAAATTCTAAAATACACATTGTATGTTTTTCTAAAATAATGTATCTGAAATTCTATTCATGGAACATGCACTCAGAAAGCATGAAGTGTAACCACAATCACCTGGAACACTTTCAAGCTTTAGGCAAAATATAAAATTACTGAATGTGTCATGTAATATATAGTATTCGTCTAATCTACTGGTAAATAACAGTTTGAGTAGTGTTTCACTAAAATACTTTAAGGAATATTACTAATAATATAACTACCAACAAAGTTCTTCATGGAATTACACTACCACGAATTAATGGAACAGTTGACTATGATACATATTATTTATATACCCACACACAAATCAAAGAAGCATGAACAAATAAATACAAAATCAGCAATCAGATACTTGTTTAAAATGATGTATTTTTGTATATTTTATCATATGCCACATTCTGATAATTATGAATCATAAAAGATTTACTCAGAAGATGGCTGTTTTCTGGGTCGTTGTGCCATGTAGTCTGGCAGCAAGGACCTCTGAAATATCGGTAAACTTCTACCAGACTACACGGCGCAACAACCCAGAAGACAGACATCTTCAGACTTACCGCTGTGAAAACCTCAAACCCTACATAAATTTGTTCACTTTTAACTAACAGCCCTTGTAAAACATATTTCTCGATATTAACAATGCTGTAACTTGTTGTTAAGACTATTTCTGAGTTTTTATGCAACAGTTTTGAGTGTTCAGGAGGTGCTAAAAGACAGAACAGCAATACGTAATATTTTGTGGAACACACTTTGAAAATTGGTCCAGAAAGACATACTAATTACATACTGACAAAATTAGGATGAGGTATTCTGTAATTATGATTATCCCAAAAAATAATGCACACTGTATTGGCACTGGTACCCGGATGATGTATTTGTTGCCAGGAAACATGTCCTATTAAGGTTGTCGGTATTTGTCAGTAATTATTACTGTCAGCTCATAGTAAAAGATTACTTAAGCAAAGGCAATGTCAAGTATCTCACTAATGACTGATCTCGTTTAAGAAAAATATTAAGAATTATGCGAACCCATTTGCAAAACAAGGCGTAATTTAGTAGCATTGCCAAGGGGATTCAATAAATTGTTATAATTTATAACTTTGTAGTGAGTAAATGTGACACCACAACTGGAAAAGATTGAGAACCCCTGCTTTAATACAAAATAGAAAACATGCAGGAAAGGCTGGATTCTCTCTTCTGAAGACAAGATCAGTAGAACTTGGAATGAACAATTCCATGCTTTCTTACTTGCTTCTTCCCAGACCAACTTCCAACACTTAGTCGAGTCTTCTTACAGCTGTCGTATGTGTCTTTACCATTAATCTTCTTTATAACACTGTAAAGAAAAATATTTTAATTTTCTTTACATGAATGTGAGAAGTAGTAGTAACTGTAGTTCACAAGTTCACACCTTTTACCTTTCAGTATGTAACTTTGGTGTGAAGAATCTTCTGTGCCGCTGTTTCACTGACTGTGGACTCTTTACTTTCCTGCTGGGGCTGTGGACAGACGATGAAACCATTTTTAGTAGCACATGAACTGTACACAGTAGAGTAACTACTTCAAATATTTTAGTTTGAGAATAATATTGGGAAAGCAAAGGAGTTTCAAGGACCATGTAACTGTTTTACAAATCTGTTATAGTCTATGAATGGCTGAATAAAGTACACTTGTACAGACATAATAACAACTTTAATGTAATTTGAAGAACACTGATTCTGAAATTGCCTGTCAGGACTATACAGAGGTTACTACACTCTGTAAACTCTTGTGTATGCCATTACATTTATATATACTGTAATAATTATTGAGAGTAACTAAAAAAAATGAGAAAAAAAGAAAGGGCAAAAACAGCACAAGGAAATTGATACTGAAGGTTGAATACAATGTTAAATTTCAAAATAAGCTGTACATAGTCATCCATTTTATACTGATTTATGAAAATTCAGTAGTTTAGGAAAATAAATTTTGCTTGTATAAACAAAATTTCCAGGTGTCTATGTATAAAAAATGTATATTCTTTAACTTTCTGAGCACAAAACAGAACAGCATCTCATGAAAAAATAATTGCAAAATAATTGAAGCAAAACTGTAAATGAAAATATAATACTGAAACAAGTGAATATACTAATCCACCTATAGCCGCAATAAATTAAGCAAAACAATAAGGACATGGCAATTAAATGAAAAGGACAGAAGCAATCTAGCTTTGTAATTCCAAACAAGAAACACAAAATTAACACAATATGTTTATACACTCAATTAAACATTTCATGCATTTAAACTGAGTACCATACAAGAAAGAACACCACAAGTGTGAAAAAATTGCATGTCTCGAACAGACAAACCTCAAGTTGTACAATACAAAAACCATGCAACAAGCGCTCCAGAGCTACTTACTTTGGATGTGAACAAACCGGAGACGAAACATACAAGTCATGTGCCATGGATCTAGAAGGAGTATAAGGAATGTTGGCTAGTGCTACACTCTGGGGGAGCATTTGCAAAACATCCTGCCTGGAACACCAACATGCATATTCAAAAACATCATCACACAAAGCATGCAAGACATATGCGAAATTTTTCAAACATAACACAGAACCCATCACATACAGGTAATTTACAATACAAAGGCATATTTACTTTCAGTATCAGGTATGCATACAAATACAATTATATACTGTATCCATAATTATATTTTTTGTTTTATTTTTATTTATTTTCCTCACTTCTTCTTAATGCATCCAGCCATAATCATAAGAAACAGAACTAACCTAATTGCCAATAACAACAATCAGAAGATGAGAACAGATCATACTCCTGAAGTTTTATACAAATAAAATAAACCTAAGACACTGAACAATATCAAAAATTATGAGATAATAGTCAAACATTGTCATAAACCTTTACAGCATATGACCGACATCTGTATTATCTCAGCAATTACACAGAACTACATGTCATCACAGTGACCGAACAGTCATGTGACTCACCTCAAAGTAATCACACAGCAGGAAGGTCTTTGTTACTGCAGCCAACATTTTTACAGACTTCTCAAAAAACATAAGCCACAAATTCATTTTCTGTATCAAGATGCCTACAAAGTGCAATAAAACTCCTATAAAACAAACCTTCCTTTCCCCATAATAAAAATTTTCAATACTAACTGGATGCTAACCACCACATTAAGAGGTCCCACACACAGAATTAATATCTAAAAGTTATTAAATTGTGATGGGATATATAACATGCACGGCCAGAAAAGACACAGCACCGATATGAAAAACCATATATACAGTCGCAAGATGTCTTTATCATCTGTGTCACAGCAAACACAAAATCTAGCTGGTTGTGAGTTTCTGCAAAATACCGCAAAACCATTAATTCTGGAATTGAAATTCATCTGGTATAACCCTGTAATACAAACATTTAAATTCCCTGTTACCATATGATAAAGGTTAATATTGAAGTACAATTCATTCAACTATCCTCTGAGTAGCTAAGTCTGCTAAGAGCTGTTATCATATCTCAACATAAAATTTAAGCCACACCGAGGTATTCTTTGTCTTTAGAGACAAGACATATTACGACAGGAAGAACATAAAGCATGAAAGAATAAAATTTGATAATGATGCAGGCTTGCTCATTTCCAGGTTCTGGCTCACAAAAGCATCAACATAACAAATTAAATGTAAATAAAAGAAATTATATTTACAAAGGCAAAGCCAACAATGAATTGCAGAAATAATACAGAAATTGTACAAACCTCTTCTTGCTTGAAAATGCACTAGTTACTTCAGCGGCTTTCCGTTTCTTGCTTGATTTAACATAGGGTGTTGAAAAATCAGGTGTGGATGTAATAAGGTGACCCTCATCTACTTCTGGAGTTCCCTTTCCAACCATTTTCTTCAATCCATTCAACATACCTGTGAGAACATACCACAAAGCAAAGATTTAGACACCACCAGAATTGTTACATGCATTATTCCAAATAATTCATTGCACTCTATATACCTCATGATCAGTTAGAAGTGGGAGAAAGAAACTAAAAATAAAGTGAGATTTGAGGTTCTCACAGCAACGAATATGAAGATGACTGTCTCCATCATCGATGGAGGCAGCTAGCACCTCTGAAACATCAGCAAACTTCTACCAGACTATACAGCACAAACCAGAATAACCACCTTATAAAAATTAAGTGCTTCTTTTCATAAATATTTATACCCATATCATTAATAAACAAAATTTTGTGAATGGTCGATGAACACAAAAATACTTCTTTCAACACATTCCATAAAAATTAATCCAAGTTCCAATTTCCAAAATGTTATTATTGAATAGCCAAGTATGCAAAGTGTGATGAAAGGGGGAAAAGTTGACAAAAATTAAAACGTTCCCAAAAGCTGCTGATTCTTTGAAATTGTAAACTTTATTATATGAAGCCCAGATTTTTTCCTAAATTCCAGTTAAAAATGCTACATTGTGACTGGTGACAGAAGACTGTATGCCTAATAAACTATGAACTAGTAGAAGCTACAAAAAGAATAATTATTGTAATCAGCCTTGTGGTAAGTATGTTTAAATTGTGATAGCTTCAGTTAAGGGACACCTTAAGTAAAATGTGCAGATTTTGCAAATATCCACAGGAAGGTTCAATATAATAGGCCATGCAAAAGCTAAGGCAGTTACTTGTCTGACTACCATCACAAAGGCCCAAAACAATTGGTGGACAAAATGATACTGGGACAAGTTTTCTTTAAATTGTTTGATTTCCCATTAGTATCATTCCACCACTGCTCCATATATACACATGCACCACCAGCAGACTGAATAATGGACCCATTAATAACTGTAGTGCCATAAAGGCAGTCTCCCCCTTCAGAACAATAACAATCAGTTCTTTAGCCATTTAGAGAAACAAGTATTAATAAAAAATGTGGGGCATTACTTAATGAGCGACCCTCGTACCTAAAGATGGCAATAATCATTACCTGTCAAGCAAATTCTGTATATGAATGGCCTACTTTGCAAGTGTGTTATTTTGTGGCAAAAACATTATACTACTTTGATGCTCTTTTTTTTCATTTTGCTGAGTCTGCAGTCATACAGCTAACATCATATCTAAATGTATACAGAAGTTAACAAGTAACAAACACACGTGTTATTGATCCACTTCTCCTTTTCTTCTTTTTCTTGTTCTGCCTGGATGAATCACCATCTTGCTCATCATTGGACAAGGAAGGGACAGAGTTGTTTGCTGCCAATCTTTCACGTATACTCTCCGGAAGATTTCCAATTTTATCAGCATTACTTATCAGCAGCTACATACAAAAATACGTGATAAATTTTAGTGCTGTGTAATGTAATGTTCATATTGCCACAGATCATGAAAACTACTAAACATTTTCAGTACAGATAAATTAGAAGTTCCTTTATACTCCTTCAAAAATATCAGTAATCTGGGAAACATTTTTGCCAATTATCTGTAATAAGTTAAATATGTGAGCCAGCGGCAACCACTTATGAATCTTTATAAGTTAAATTCTTATTTAAATTTAAAAATCTCCACAAAAAGAGGTCAG